CTAGGATTGTGGAAGGATTGATTTAGAAAGTTTTTTCTTTCTATTTCTTTCTTTCTATTTTCTCTTCTTTCTATTTTTTCTTCTTTCTATTTTTCTTTCTTTCTATTTATTGCAGCAGCTTACTGTATAAATATGCCCATTGGCAATAGAATGAAACATATCAGTATTCTACCATTCCAAAACAAGTCTTCAATTAGTTTTTTGACTCTCACCCCTCCCACTGCTCTCCAACTTCTTGTCACCCATGCTTCTATTTCTTCTACTGGGATTTACCAGTCATTTTCTTCTTTTTGTTGATAACCACCAAATAGAATTTCATTAAAAAGCTAAAATCACACTGCTTAGAACCAGAGTAGGTGGACAATAACAACCTTAGAACAAGCCAAAAACGGACCAAAACAGCAAAAGAAATTCCTTCTACAAATTACAGCCTGATCTTGGGCAATCCCAATCCAAACTATCTTTTCCTACCCCCAATCTTGCCAGGGTGTCAGCTAGCCTAATTGCACTCCAGGCCTCCTGGATACCCAAATGAATGAGATGTTTAAGTTGGCACCAAAGGAATGAGCCAATCAACAAAATAATTGTTTAAACAACAAAATAAGTTGTCACCAACTGTTTAAATTGCCGAGGTATTAATTCTTAAGATTGCATCAACAAAATAATTGTTTCATAATCCCCCTTGACCACTATATTCAATAACCCTTGCTCAACTATCGGTTTCAGGCCCTGAATTAAGGGCCTATTTGGTTTGTGGGAATAGAGGTCTGGAAGCAGAATCGGAATGGGTCATTCTGATTCCAACTGTTTGGTTGAGCGGAATCAGAATTCCATTCCTGGTGGAGTGGCACTCACCCATTTGAGGGAATGGCCATTCCCTCCCCCTCCCTTGGGAATGAAATCCCATTCTGGTTGATTCTACTTTCCATTCCTATTCCTATCTGAACCAAATAGACTATGGGAATAGACCATTCCGATTCCAAAGGAGTTTGATTCCAATTCCGATTCCGAAGGATTTGATTCCGATTCCTACTGCGAACCAAATGGACCCTAAATCCAACAGCTCTGTCCTTAGAGAATTTCCATACCCAATTGGCCCTGGATGGCTAAGAATTACATTGTCAGCAGAATCTCTAACCACTCCTCCCACTCCTGAGCTCCCGGGGTTTCCAAAACAGCACCCATCAAAGTTTAGTTTACAACTTCCATCTCCTGGTGAAGTCCATTGACCACTCTTTGTGGTACCAGTACCCTATTATTAAAACCTGCAAAAATATTCCACCCTCTTAGTAAATTATTTAGGCTTACTCCACTGAACTCTTTCTTAACTTGAGCCCAATGTGCAACCCTTAGTGTTGTAAGTCCGATCAGCTCCTCCACTTCTTTGTAATTTCTTCAAATATTCTGTTATTTCTTTTACTCCATAAACCCCACAACACTGCCCCTCTCATGCACTGCCACAAGATTTTCTGTCTTGGTCTAGAATATCTCATAACCTGTGGCTTAAATAGATCCACCACCTCTGAAGGAGCTGTCCACTCTTTACCCACCAAAGAGAAAAAAGTTGCCAAATCTGAGATGCATAAGAGCACTGAAAAACAGATAATTGGCGCTTTCCCTGTCTTTCTAGCAAAGAACACAAACATGAGGAGGAAGAGTCCAATTTTTACACTTCCTTTGGAGTCTGCAACAGGTGTTTAAGATTTGCTTTGCAGCCTCCCAACAAAAAACCTTTACTTTGAGGAAATTAGGCTGGAACATAATTCTTTAGCTGGGAAAGGAAGGTTGTCAACTTGGTTAACAAGGACTTTAAAAAAACATGATCGGTGCTTTCCCCGTCGTTCTAGCAAAGAACACAAGCATGATGAGAAAGAGTCCAATTTTTACACTTCCTTTGGAGTCTGCTACAGGTGTTTAAGATTTGCTTTGCAGCCTCCCAACAAAAAACCTTTACTTTGGGGGGAATTGGGCTGGAACATAATTCTTTAGCTGGGAAAGGAAGGTTGTCAACTTGGTTACCAAGGACTTTAATAAAAGATGAACAAGTGTAACTGTCATTTACACATAGAGTCCAAACCCTCTATCACCCATCCCAAAACCCTAGCAACATAGGGATTTCCCCCAAAGATAGTACTAAATATTTTAAAGGCCACTCCTTAACCCCACAACCCAAGATTCTGGCACACTCCATGTCTCCACCACAAATCCCTCCAAATTACACTAACCTCCAACCCAGTTACCACTTCCACTAACCTCAAAATACACCTCAAAGCTCTCAAATCCTGGAAACCCTTAAATTCCCCTAAGATCAAGGTATCATCTGTAAATTACAAATGCAATACCACCTGTCCTTGTCTACCCACTATAAAACCCCAAAATAACCCCTTCTCATCAGCTCTTTTCAACAATTTGCTCATGACCTCAGCCACCAAGAGAAATAACATAGGGGACAACAGATCTCCTTGTTGAATTCCCCTAGTTGCCTCAAAGAAGTCCTGTGGGGCACCAATGATCAGAATTGAGAAATGAGTGACTTTTAAACATCCCATTATCCATTTTATCCATCTATTCCCAATGTCCATTTGTTCCATCACCCACTGCAAGATCCCAATCCACATGGTCATAGACTTTCTCCAAGTCCAATTTAAAACAAATCCTTTTTTCCTTTCCTTCCTAAACTCCTCTACAGCCTCATTCGCTATAAGGATTTGATCAAGAATTTGTGTGTTTTTGACAAAAGCCCCTTGTTCACTTGAAATCACATAATGCAACACCTCGTTCAATCTAACCAACATAACTTTTGCCAAGATTTTGTACAAACTTGTAGTGAGACTTGTAGGCCTAATATCATTGGTGGAGACAGCCCCTGCACATTTAGGAATTAAGGAAACATAAGTGGAATTCATTCCTCTCCCCACTTTCCCTCTTTCAAAAAACTCATTAAACGCTTTCCACAAGTCCTTTATGGTCTCCCAGCATTCTTGGTAAAAGATTAGCGCAAATTCATCAGGACCTGGTGCTTTATCACCACTCTTTCTTCTCTCATTTGCTAAAAAATGAAAGTACTTGCTCTTTCCATCCCATCCCCCTTCCCTCAACCATTTACATCTCGATTTTTGTTGCCAACAGATTTCCTCCCTTCTTAAAATCATTTTTAACTCAGCCCTTAAGCCCATTCTTTTCCTTCTCTCTTCCTCTTGCAATCCCCTTCCCTCCTCTCTTTTGATCCTACCCACCCCCTCCACCTGTTTTAACATTTCCATCTTTTTTTACCCAACTCTTCCAAAAACCTGAACATTCCAAATCTTCAACTTATTTTTGATCATCCTCAGCCTTTGCATAAACTGAAACCCAGCACACCCTTCCACTTGCAGAAGGATTCCGTTTCTCTAAAGCCACATCATTATTCAACTTATCTTTTTCCTGACCTTTCTCTTCGAGTCCTCTAAAACACCTTCCTTACAAATTCTTCACCCCCCCCCCAAAAAAAAAAAAGAATAGACCCAGTGTTTTACTCACCTCCACTTTCTTTGTTTACTATTCATTTGGTGACTATTTCAAATGAGCATAAGAGTTTCAGGTTGTAAATTTTGATGAGAGTTCCACTTGAGGGAGGGGTTATTAGAGGCCATGAAAGAAGCATTTTAATTAGTTATTGGGCCAGATGGGCTTGGTTACTCTGAGATAGCTCATCTGTTAGCCCTCTTACAAGGGAAGACCAGAAGAAGTTGGTATATGGCATTGGATGGAATGGACATGTGGTTGAAGGTGAATGCCACATGGGGTTAAGATGGCTGCAATCAAGTTTTAAAGGACCTTAGGGTTTAAGATATCAGGTTAGATGAGTACTTGTGTTATCTTTCAATCAGAATTTCTCACTTGGAAACCAAGGTCTGCTGTCAGTTTAGCACATACTCTAGCTAGGATGAGCGTAAACAAGGATGAGTTAGGTTGGAGAATGCCAAGGTAAGGTGCAAATTCGTAACTGTCATATATAAGTATTAGTGTGAATGTAACTGTATCAGTCAATAATAGTGTTGTATTTTTTAACTTTCTATTATTAATGATATTCACACTTACTGATCAAAAAATAAAGCTTTTAAGCACAAACAAGACAGCACATACCAAATCCCAAAATTATAGAGCAAATTAGGAATCCCAGTAATGAAAAATCCATTTTGTACACAATCTCCATGATGATGATGCATCCTCCAGCTACCATTAAGTGCCTTGGAGATGAGAAGACCATATGCAATCTGCAAAGGGGCATAAATTACATCAACCATCATGTGCCCCTAATAAGATCTCCTCAGAGAAGCTATATTAAATTAAATTATGTGAAAAATGAACTAAAGATCAGAATAATCTAGTCATGAAGAAGAAATAGGTATCTGAAAGAATATACAGTCTCTCAATGCAAACAATATCAGAAATGAGAGTTCATATCACAGATCAGCTAAGCCCAAACTGAATCCATAAATATAATTAGTATTGTTGTTGAAACAATAAATGCATTAACCCATCAAAACTATATACAGAAGTGTCCCTGCACAACAAGCTGCTATATAGTGGGAACCCAACAGTCAGTGCCCATAAAATAAAATAAAACATAATGTATGATTCACATGTAATGAGTTAAATAAAGATAGAGGGAATCACTGGATTCCTTGTGATGCAGTAGTGCTGGAACAAACTATCACAAGACAGGAAGAGAGAGAAAGGAGAAAGGGTAGAGGAAGAGAAAAGAGAGAGAGAGAAATCCCAAGGAATCACTCCAAGGGGTCCTAGAATCACTCTAGGGTTTGTAGGAATCACACCATACAGCAAACTTGCAAGAGAGCTCTAAAGAAATTCATTCATTAGCTTCATGAGGAAGAGAATACATCTATTTATAGAGTGCCTGTGTGGCCCGGAATACTGTTCACCATAATTACAAAAACGTCACTCCTTGTCTTGTGTTTCAAGAAACAAAATAACTTTCTATCTACTAATGCAAATAAACTGAAAGTTGAAAGGCAAGCCCTACTAAACTAGAGGAACAAGATGCTATAGCCCAGGCTAACACGGGACTAGTTAAAATGACAAAAATACCCATACTGTCCAAATATACAAAAATACAGAAAATTCCAAATTTGATTCTTCAGCTCCTGCATTATTCTCCCCTGGTTCAAAAAAGCCCGTCCTCGAGTTTTGAAGAACTTGAGGGTGAAAAGTTGATGTACCTCAATGAAAAAAGGAGTAGTAATTCCCATAGCTACTTCAACACACTTGGACTGTAGAATTTTTTTAAGATAAATAAAGAAAAAAAAAATCATTATTGAAAAGAGTTTACAGCTCATATGGTGACAAGAGGTCATCCCCAAGAAACAGTCAGAAAAAAAAAAACAGACTTAAAACAAATTATATCAGAACCCAGAAAATTAAGCATTCAAAGAGCTCCAGAAGTCTGCTCCAAAATCTTCTTTCTTTAATCCTTGAAAATCTGGCAGGATTAACACCCAACCTATGACTGATGAACTAATTCGAGCCACCACCTATTCTCAACTTTTTTTCTTGTTCTCAAAGATTCTTTTATTTCTTTCCTTCCAAACTTCCCAGCACACCATGAATGGAATGCAGCTCCACATCAGCTTGACCCTAGAACTACCCTGAACTCTTGGCCAAAGTCCAAAGATTTCAGCTTGATCTGATATTGACCACCTGTCCATCTTAAACAGCATGAAGAAATAGAACCATATTGAGGAAATGAAGCTGCACCTGTAGAACAAATGCATGATACACCACTTGACTCTTTATGTTGTCCTGAGTCAGAACACACCCCTTGACTAGCAGCCAAGCAAAGGCTTCCACTCTTGGGAGCACAGGTTTCCCCCATACTCCCTGAACTGGATCAGATTCCACCATGTTTCTGATAAATTGAGTACATTGACTTGACTGCAAATTTCCCATCCTTGCATTCCTTCCACCACCAGCTATCATCTACTAACGGATTCATTTCCAACGGCTGTAATTTGGACAGCACCTCCACACATTCCTCCATCTCCCAGTCAAGTAAAGGTTTTCAGAAATAGGTACACCCTTCTGACCCAATCTGTACAGCCTTGGACAGATTTCACAGAGCCTCCCTAACCCAGACCAATCATCCTCTCAAAATCTAATGTAGATGTCACACACATGAATATAAATGAATCTTGGAAGCAACGTATGTCTGAAATACTGCCTTCCATAACCTTCATTCTTAAATCATCAATAACATTAGCTTTTTTTCTTTTTTGATTGGAAATGGCAACTTCGTTAAAATTAAAACTATGATAAGGTACATCTGTCAACTCCTAAGAAGTTGACCCAAGTTACATACTCATTACAGCACTGACCAAAACATGTTCTCCCTTACAGTCCCTTGTTTTGCTAAGGTATCCGCTAGCCCATTAGCTGACCTTTTTGTCCACTTAAAGCACAGACCAATCTCCCTCGTTATATTCATTATTTCCCTTATCATCTGTCTATATTTCCATGCTCCCAAACAACCTGACTGCATCCACCCCATTAACAGCTTAGAGTCCCCTTCAATCTCCATTTGATGTAGTCCCAAATGTTTGGAATATCTTACGCCGTTACGCGGTTACACCTTTAAGTAAAGCCATCACCTCTACTCTTAACAATCTCCTTCTCCTATTGGCCCTGAATACATGGCAATAATTCTTCCTTCCCCATCCCTAAATACTCCCCCTATACCCGACAGGCCCAGATTACCTATAGAGCTGCCATTCAACTTTGTATTTGGGGAAGTTGACGGGGCCCACATTTCATGCACCACAGGCTTTAGGGATATAGTACTTGCCACCTCACTCCATCTTTTGTAAATGTCATCAGCTGAAAAGTCCTTAAAACAGCTCACTGGTTTTAAACCAATGAATAACCTTAATAGTTATTCCTTCTACAATTTCCTCCTTGGATCTTTTAGTATTCTTAAAGATCCTATTATTTCTTTCTTCCCAAATTGACCAAAGAGCAGCTGCTCTTGTAGCTCTCCACATTATTCTACCCCGCTTCTTTGCTTGCCTGTAAAAGTTTGGGTCAAAAAGGCTTACCACATCCGGGGGAGGGGTCAACCTGCAACCAAAGAGAGAAGAGAAGCAAGACCAAATAAAAGACACAAAAGGACAAAATATTAAGAGGTGTGTGATTGTCTCACCAAAACCCAAGCAGAGGCTACAAATATGGGGTGCAAGGCAAAGGTTTGGCCTTTTCTTTGCAACAACCTCCAGAGTATTGATTTTTTGGAGTGCAACCTCCCAACAAAATCCCGAATTTTTGGAGCAACAAGACTACACCAAACCTCCTTTGTTGGAAAATTCCCTGCAAGGTTAGAGGACTAGAGAAGGATAATATAAAAAGAAGCACAAGTGAAGACACCAGAGGTGGAGGGTTTCCAAATTCTGCTATCCAAACAAGATTGATCCAAAAAAACCAACCCTAAGAGAGCAGCAAGTTCATCCACCATCTCCATTTCCGACTCTCTTAACCCTCTCCTCAATCCAAAATCCCAAGAATTATCAATCAGCCTATCTTGTGGTGAATCTTCCCCTTGCTTATCACTATGAATTTTCATATCCAAAATCTCAACTGCAGCATTTGGAACGTTTCCTTCAACCTCTAGTTGAGAAATCTCCATCTCTATGTGTTCAGCTACCCTTGGTTCTTCAACAAACTCTTAAACTTCTGCCATTAATGATGTTGGTGGAACTTGTACTATCTCAGCTTGTAATTCTTGTATTGGTTCAGTTGAACTTGTAAGGTAAAGTCATAACTTACTTCCTTACTGACATCTACTACAACCAACACATTTGCATCTTGTACCTGAATTTCTTCAACTTCGTCCACTTCTATCTCTTCTTGATCATTAACCTCAAGCTGACCATGGGTGTTGTAAGTTTCGTCTTCAACAATTCCAATCTTTTCTTGGTCCGCACCCTTTTGATCTTCAATTTTTACAACTTCTATACGTTGAAATTCTCCATTCACAACTTTAGCTCTAGAATGGGCATCAACATGCAAGAAATCATCTTCTTTATCTTCAACTTTGTACTTTCTTCTCATTGGCTTCAAATTTTTTGTTGTAACCAGCTGCTTCTTCTCTATCTTAAGAGCCAATGCAAAGGCATGATCTAAGTCATAAATCTGAATTGTAGACAATTCATTCTTGATATCATCCCTGAGTCCATTTGTGAAATGAATTAATTTGTTCCTTTCATTTTCTATAATGCCATGTCTAATATATAATTCAAACTTATGCATATATTGAACTACAGATAGCATTACCTTGCTTGAGATTAGTCAACTCCACATATAGATCATCATAGAAGTATTGTGGAATGTACTTTTCTTGCAAACACCTCTTCATCTCTGCCCATGTGGTAATAGGATATTCACCTCTGTTTTCTAGTCGTTGCTCAAGAGTTCTCCACCATACTTTAAAATGACCCAAGAGCTTCATGTGTGCAAATATAAATCTTTGTTTTTCAAACATATCATGCCAATTGAAATATTCTTCTAGTTTAGCAATCCAATCAAAGAATGCCTGCCAGTCTCCATCTCCCTTATTTTTTTTTTATGAATGAAAGTAGTTTTATTAAATCAGATATCAATAGTACAATCAGCCTAGGAGGAGGCACGAGATGTTACCCCCCTAGGACTGAACCATATACACCAAAACTGCCCAGGCCTGAGACACAATTACAAAGTAGCCCAAAATAGATCTCCCCTTGGCACCCCTTGCTTGGCCAAAGAATCAGCCATTGCATTTGCTGATCTTCTAACCCATTGAAACCTGACAGTCATATTCCTTGTCATCCATTTAATTTTCTTTAACAGATCCCTGTAGCCCCAACAGGCTGTTTCTGGGCTGATTAGACAGCCTACTACTACATTGGAATCCCCTTCTACTAGCATATTGGTCACTCCAATTTGACTAGCCATCTGTATACTTTGTACCGCTGCTAGTAGCTCTGCCCTTATTGAATCGCCTTCACCCACTGGTCCGGAAAATAGAGACAACATATTGTTGTCATTGTCTCTCAGAATCCCACCTATTCCCAATGGCCCTGGATTACCTTGGCTGCTACCATCAAAATTCAATTTTACCACACCATCCGGAGGGAATCCATTCAGCTTGTGATCTGATCTTGGTGGAGACTGTAGCAGCCACTGCAGCCCAATTTCTCCTTAAGTCATCAAAGGAGTAATCTGCCAACAA